AGGCATTCTGATGGGCGCGGGGCCGGCGGCGTTGGGCGGGCTCAGCACGCGCTTGCCCCTGGAGCTATGGGCCTGTGAATCAACGCTTGGCGCCCTGCGTCTCCTAACCCCCTGGCTTTTCACCTGCGGCTTGTGGAAGCCCACGTTAACCAGGTCCATCACCCTGGTTTGAGGGGGGCGAGGGGATTGTTGGTGGGGGAGGGGGGAAATGGCGGCAATAGATGACTGGTCGGAGCTGGTTGGGTAGGGGGAGGGAAGTGGGGCGCCGAGGCGCAACATGTTGTCACCCTTCACCCTAAGTATTGGGATGAAGGGTGGACGTTCGGGGAGGGGAGGGGGTTGCAGCAGCTGGAGAGGGAGGGCAGGGGAGCGTGGCGGGGATTGGGGGTCTGCATACAGGAGTAAATGGGATGTGTGAAATTGCAACAGAACTAGGGAGGCAGCGGCAGTGGTCAAAACCTTGATGGGGAAGATGCAGGATTGTGGGAGCGCGGCAAAGCAGGCAAACCAGGGATGAGGGCGGCATACGTTGCGTGCGCATGAGGCCTGAAGGTTTGATACAACGAGGCCCCCACATGCTGACAGGCCATCTGCGAGCCCCAGCAAAGGTTTACACCCGACACACAGGCCGCCGCACAACCCTTGGGTTGCAAGCTTCGCCATCCAAGCCAGCCGTGCAGCAAAGCTGGTCAGCCACATGAACAAATAAGTGCTTGATCCTGAGCACCCCTTGCGGCTGTTGGTGCTTTATGCTGGGCGTCCCTCACGACTGGGCCCCCCTCGCGGCTGTCGTTGCTCCCGCTCCTCATCAACGGTCACCCCACAGCACCAGGGCGTGCCTCGATTGAATCCCCAGCTCACCAGTCACTGGGCACGCCATGCATTGCAGCGTCGTACTCGTAGCCGAGTGACGCGAACCAGGGGACGAGGCCGTCACGGGACCCAAAGTACATCAGCAGGCCAGATGACAGCACCAGGGTCTGTGCATTGTTTGATGGTGCAACAGGGGGGGGCAGGTTGTTGCAAGGGCTGAGCGTGGGATGAATTTTATTGTGAAGAACTGATTCAAATGTGGGCACAGGTTGACCAACAGCAGATGATTCAATGGTGGATGTCGTGAGGGCTCGCAAGTGGGGGGTCCCTTGAACGTTCTGCGGCGCAAGTGGCATGAGCGACAACAGCCCGGGCACGCTGCATTGCAAGCCTGCACACGATGCACTGGCCCCACCACTGCAGGCACAAAGCTCAGCCTGCTACAAGTAAACAATAATCCACATCTGTGGCGCCGCACCGTGTCGAACATCGCCCAGATGGCGGCGCGGGGCTGGTGGATCGAGGCGATGACTGTGTGGCCCCCCTTGTGCGCCATGCACTGCATGTAGCCCATCACACTGCGGGCCGGGACAATTTGTGGTAGAGCGGTCAGTCAAGGGCGGGGCCACAGGGGCTCAGGGCCGCAGGAGCAAGGGCCGCATGCATGCCGGCCCGGTGAGGGGTTTGGGGTGTGTTGGGGCTTTGCAGGCTTGGTTTGGGCGACCCCCTCTCTCTATTGCAGCCCCTCCCTCCCTGGATTGCACCGTTCAGGCACGCAGTGTGCGTCCGCATGTTCCTCCAACCTCCGCCCCGTCCCAGGTCCAGTTGCAGCCGCAACACAGCACGCAGCAACTCCGCCCGACCTGAGGGCGCTGAACGAGTCCAGCCCCGAGGTCGGCTCGTCCAGGAAGATGACTGCCGGCGTGGAGATGATGCCCGTGGCTATGGACAGCCGCTTGCGCTCGCCCCCTGACAGCCCGCGCAGCAGGATCCCTCCGGGCAGGGTGCCGCCAACCTGCGGGTTTGGAGCGGGAAGGGGCGCAGGGACGAGGCGTGCGGTGATTTTGCACAGGCGCGAATGGGTGGGCGGGTGGATTACTGGCTGATGGGCTGATTGGCTAGCAGGCTGGCTGGCTAGCAGGCTGGCTGGCTGGCTGGTCAGATGGGTGGGTGGATGGGTGGGGGATGTTTCCACCGCGGTCCACGCCAAATTTCGACAAGCCCCTTCAGCATTGGCCTCGTCGAAAAAGAGCTCCAAATGGGCACAGCAGCAGCACAAATCCACCCAGGGCATGCAGGGCCAGGCTGCTGGACCCGCCGATGCGCCCCTTACCAGCGTGTCTGCAGTGTGGCTGAGCCCCATGGCGGCCAGGACCGCGGCAATGCGGTCCTTGCGCGCAGCGGCGCCCCAGGAGCTGGGCAGCAGCAGGGAGGCGTAGATGTAGGCCGTCTCTTGGACTGTCATGGTGGGCAGAAAGTTGTCGGACTGCAGCAGAGGGTGTGCGGCGGAGAGCAGATAGCTGAGTTTTGGGTGCTGGTGTGTGTTGCATCAATGGTTTCGGGCATTTATGCGTGACCTGCTCTCTACAAGAAAGACCTTTCTTCAGGGTGAGGAATTGCAAAGCCCGTCAGTCATGTAGTGAGCTGTAGCAACTGTGGACACAAGGGGTGTGCGCTGACAGACACAGAGGAGCAGGTGATACCGGGTTGGTCGGGCAACAGCGACGCAGGCAAAGGCGCCGGTATGCCAAGCCGCGCTGCAGCCAATCTGACCAGCGCAGCTCGGCCCCATTGCCCGCTTGCTGTTTGCAAGCGTTATGTCCGGAAAGCTGAGACTGGCACGGGTAGTTCCCCGGCCCTGCCTCCCGGGACTCTTCAATTGTTGGCCCTCCCTCCGTGCAACAAGGGCAGGTTTCATCACGCCGGCAACGCACACCCATGCTTGTGGTGGTGAACACAAACCCGTGCGACCCACCTGCGGCACGTACGCTGTCTTGCGGGTGAATTCTGGGCCGCGTGGGCGCCCGTTGACCAAGACCTGCCCCGACAGCCGCCCCACGCTCTTGCGGGCGGATATGATGTCCATCAGGGTTGACTGTGTTGAGTTGGTAGGTGAGGAACAAGGATTCAACGTGGTCAATGAGGTGGGAAAAGCGGTGCAAGGGCAGCGGGAATGCTGTCCGCAGGTTCGTGTGGAATGGTGTGGTGTGGCAATCTGTAAAGAGGACTCAATGCAAAGGGCTTGGGCTGCGCGCCAACAGGTGTGTGCTCGTGGCAGGAGGGGTACGGGCTCATTGACTCACCTTGCCGGCCCCCGAGGGTCCCATGAGTGCCAGCATCTGTCCCGGCTCTGCTGATCCATACACGTGCTGCATGTGTGGTGTGTGTTGTATGGTTTGTAGTTTGTGATTGAAGGGTGGCACAGCGGCGTTAAGAACAGGAGCTGAGTATGAGGGGCGGGGTTCCAGGCCAGGATGGCGGTGTCAGGTCAGCACAAGTTGCTTGATGGCGGGCCGGTTGAGATACGGGGCCAGCTGATACAGCTGCAGAATGCATAACCCAATCCAGGCTCGCTCGGTGACATGACTCAAATGGTGACATTGACATGAAAGCCTGGCTCACCCTGGAAGGGTTGCCATCCCATTTACCTGTGGCAGCGGAACAAGCAATCAGGGGGCGCGCTCGGACCCAAGCCGCACCTGCAGTACAATTTTGACGCCCTCCCCTGTGGGGTATGCGCAGCCCAGGTCGGACCACTCCAGCACCATGGGCCTCAGGTTGGTCGTCAGGCGCCGCAGGATGATCTGACTGTCTTTTGATGGCACCTCGCAGCGCCCAGTTGCACTGGGCCCGCTGTTCTCTGGCGCTGCACTCGCCGCGTCGCTGCCCGCGTCGTCGCCGACGTCGCCTTCGGCGCCGGGGGCCGTTCGCGGCGCGGGGGCGAGGCGCGCGAGGGCAGCGACGGACGCCGGCGCGGTGGCGGTCGCGGCGGCGACGGTGAGCGCCAGCGGTGGGTGCTGGTCGGGCGCGAGGGCCACGTCGTCGGCGGTGGCAGAGACGGGCAGGGCGCCCCCTTTTGAGCTCTTGGCTGCGGTTGGCTTGGCACCTGATGTCATGGAGGGGGTCCAGGCAGGCGCTCTGGAGCAAATCAAGCAGAAACAACACGTACCGTGCACACGCGCGCGCGCAGTCACGCGTCAGTTGGACAGGGGTTGGTCAGAATCATACCACCCGGGCGGTAGCGAGTTCGCGCGCGCCGCACCTTTAGCCTTCTTCTTGCCGGGCTTGTACATAATGAAAAGCATCCTGACAAGCCAGAATGCTGCAAAAAGATGTGCAAAGGCCAGCACGGGCGCGTACATATCCGGTTGCGCACCCATGTCCCCCATCCTGGCGTGCTCTCGGTGCGCGACGGCGCCAGTGCCCGAGGGGCGCGGTGCGGGGGCAGCAAGGCTGAGTGCACGTGCGGCGCTGCGGGCGTCTTTTGCGCTAGTCCAGGGCGCGAGGGATCGCCTTGAGGTCTGTGGAGAGCAAGAGGGATGCGGGCGTCGATCTTGCCGAAACCTTGGCGGGAGGTACGGAATGCAATACACCCAGCGATGATGAGATTATCGACGTTCTGAAACCGAACATTGTCTACGCAGGTTGTGACCAACAACTTGTGCGTCCAAGGCTCGCAGCAGCCCAGTCACCACGTGTCCCTTGTGCACTGTGTGAGAGCACTCTGTTGGCCCAGGCGAGTGCTGATGTAGTAATGTAGGATGTGTGTTGACATGAACTTGTATGTTAGGCCATCCGAGCAGAAGCGTTATCATTGATCAAGCGCGGCATGCTTGTTCGCACACTCTCTGCTGCGCACCCAGCTATGCTCCGGGCAGCCCGGGCCCGCGGGGCTGAGCCCTGCCAGGTCGGCACACACTAACCCTGCTCAGAAGGTTCTTGCAAGTAGACTGCATCCTGACTATTGCCAATGGCTGATGCACAGGATGCCTCTCAACTTTGATTGTGCTTTACAAACCGTGTCTCTAATGCATCTTCGCATGCATTTGCATGCTGAGCAATCCCGGACGGCCTGAAGGAAAAGGAGACAGGCTTCAGCAATGCTTCTGGCTTGTGGTCGGGACGCCTTGAACCGCAACCATCCACATGACACACCAACAAGTAAGGCTCTACGGCGGCGTGTCACACTGCTGGGCGTCCAAATGTTGCTTGCGTCAACGCACATGCCTAGCAGCAACCTGGTGAGCCCTGCAGGGAGAGAGCCGGCACTGGTGCAATGCATGCCAACAGTGCCACTGGGCTTGGCTGCATGGTTTTGCATGGCATGGGACTGCACACACTGGGATGCTGCCAAATCAAGCAGATCAATCAGGCAGACACTGGCACACTGGTGGTAATCAACGGAATTTGTTTGCAACCAAAAACATGGCTGCTGCCTTTGTCGGCATGCGGCGCCATTGCTTCGAGCCGACACCCATAACTAAGAAACAGCGGCCTGGACGTGGCCGCGTGAGGGGAGGAGTTGCATTTTCCAAAACACAGGCCCATATTGTGCCCCACGACATCACTTCTTTCCGCGGCCTCCTTTTTTCTTGTTGCTGCGCTTCTTGCCACCGCCTGCGCCGCCGCTGCCACTGGTGCCGTTGGCGCCTCCAGCGCCGCCTGCTGCCGAAGCCTGTGGGGTGTTACCCCCTGCGCCGCCAGGGCCCTGTGCCTCCGCTGGCACAGCCGCAGCCACGGGTGCCGCAGACTTGGGCGGTGCCTGTGGGCCGGCCTGCGAGGGCGTCGCCGGCGCCGCTGCCTTGGGCTTGGCTGCCTTGGGGGCGGCTGCCACAGGGGCCGAGGGCAAGGGCGAGGGGGAAGGCGATGCTGCCGATGGTGGCGTGCTGGGCGCCGCCACAGGGGCGGCCTGGGTGGCGGTCTTTTTCTGCTCGGGCTTCTCCTCGGTCTTTAGCGCTGCCTTGGTCTGCGCCGCTGGCGCCGGTGCCACCGCCGTGGCCGGCGCAGCCGGCACGATCGAGGCAGAAGGTGTCACGCCCGCCGAGGGGCTGGCCTTGGAGGCAGGTGACACCTGCTGCTCGACGGCCGCGGCCGCTGCTTGTGAGGCGGCCGCCGTGGGCGCCGAATGAGCAGGCACGGCGGGCTCTGCAGGCTTGGTGGCTGGCACAGGCTCTACGCCAAGCTTGGTTGTGGCTGCCGCTGTTGCCACCTCCTTGACGGGCTCGCTTGTGCCCACGGAGGCGGCCTCGGCTGCCGCGGCTGCGACAACTTGGGCAGCTGCTGTCGCGGCAGGCTGCGCGGCCTTGCCGACAACTGCAGGGGCCGCCGCTGTAATCGCCGCATTCAGCTTGGGGGTGCCAGCCGCAGTGGCCTGCACGCGGCTCTCAACCTCTCCAGTCGAGGGCGCAACATAAGCCCCACCCCCAGGGCCTTCGCTTGCAGCACCGGCGCCACCGTCGCTCAGGAGTGGTGACCTGGACGGATCCAATCGCGACGTTCTTGAGCAGCAACCTGGTTTTTAGTGGTGGTGGATATCATATGAGAGCGATGGAAGGTCAGAAACACCCGTTGTGGGCTCATCCGAGCGCCCCAACAGCAACTGCTAGAGGCGCCCACTACGATGCCCACAGCAGCATAGAGCTTTTGACACTCTTCTGATTTCAAGAGGCTCACCGCCCATGCTTCAATGGTCTGCAGCAGGGCTTGATCTCCTCAGTGAGGATCTGGAGTTGGCTGGCCAATTTTGGTTTCAAGTTTGCAGAATACATGCGCCAATGTTCGATGGATCACTACGGTAAGGCGGCAGCGGGGCATGCCTGTACAAAGTACGCACTGGTGCCGAGGGTGGTGCCACCTCCTGTGTAAGCTCGCGAGAAAGCGCATAAGCAGCGCCTGCAAATCACACGCTAGCTTACCTCGCACAAATTGCTTTTGACTTGTTTGATACCGTATCTGAAGCCGCGAGCTTTTTGACGCACATTGACCGTAAAGATGAGCATCGTCCACGTTGCATGAGGGGCACGTCAGCGTTTTTGAGACGCTCTGTCGTAGATTCGTAAACTGCGCCGGGGGCACCCCGCAAAGCGGCGCCTGTGTGCAGCAACATGGCGACTCGAGCCGCTTCACCTGGTTGCAATCACACGGCGCCTGGCGCGCCCAACCCCGTCGGCGCGGGGCTAGACGCTGCCGTGAAGCTGCTAATGGACCCCAAAGCCAGTGATCTGCATGAGCGCCACGCTGCTGCGATTGCGCGCCTCTGCCGCCGCGCCGCAGGGAGCGGCTTTGCCATCGCCGACCTGCCGCGCGTGCAGCTGATTCTGGACACCACCCTGCCGCTCCTGCTGTCCGGCACACGCCCCTCGCTCGCTGCACCGCTGTGCGACACCGTGCGGCTTCTTGGGCGCCCGCTAGCCAAGTGTGGGCTTAGCGATGAGGCGCGGCTGCCGGCGGCGCTCGCGGGGGTGTTGGGCAGCCTCGGCGCCGCGCTCACCGCTGGCGCGCCTGCGGCGCTGCAGCTGGCGGCCGCGGAGGCGCTCGAGGCCCTGGCGTCAGCCTACCATAACCGTCCGAGCCTAGCAGACCTCAGGCCCCGGTCCGGCCAAGACGCAGTGTGGCAGCAGAAGCAGCAGCCTCAGCAGCAGCAGCAGCACGGCGTTGACAGCGGACAGGAGCCAAAACGCATCCGGAGCGGCAACAAAACAGCGGCAGTACCTGAAGGCACAGACCTTCAGCAGCGCGCACACACAACAGTCCTTGACGGCGACATTGACTCGCCCTGGCGGGTGTATCACCTCCACCAAAGGTCGGTGGAATCTTCCAGCAAAACAGGTTTTCAAAAAAAAGGGTGGCCCAACTAGACTGCAGACTGCGTTAAGCACGCACCTCACAAGGTCTCACTTGCTTCACTAAGCAACGCACAACCCCTGACCTCAATTGTCGCAGCCTCATCCACCAGAGTGGAGTCGCCCCCCTCGCAGCGGCCTGCCTGGCACGCATGCTGGAAAGCGCCAACCACGCCGACACACGCCTGGAGACGGCGCTGCTGCGCGCGCTGCTGAGCTTCTCGTACTACCCGGACACGTGCGCCCAGCTGGTGCACTGGAGCGGCACGCTACCCCTCCTTGCGGCTCTGCTGCAGCGGCATGGCGGGAGCGCCTGCATCCGGGGACTCGGCAGCACAGGTGGAGATGGCAGCGGCAGCACCGGCAGCCATGGTCCGGAATCTGAGGGGACAGACGCTCTGATGCCTTTTGTGCTGGAGCTGCTGTGGAATTTGGTGGAGCTCGCCCCGAGCGCAGTCAGGGACGCACTGGAGGAGGGCTGCAGTAGCAGAGTCAACAATTACCATGAGATTGGCGGCAGCAGGCAAACAACAGACACAGCGTCTGAAGAGCTCCCCGTCGGCGTTTTGCCTTGTGATAGCAGCAGCATGCTCAGCAGGAACGGCGGCAGTGTTGCGGAGGAGTTGACTTCAACATTGGGGGCGCATTTCGTGAGGCTGCTGAGCTGCGCCGACAATCGGCAGGCCAAGGAGCTGCGGAATGACGCACTTGCAGCGCTGCAGCACCTGCTCGCGCTGCGACCTTGTGCGGCCGCCGCGCTGAAGAGCGGGCTGCTTGGGGCACTGCTCGCGGCTGCTGCGGCGCCAGAGGCGCCGCAGCTCTGCCAGACGGCGGCGCCAACTTGTGGTGGTGGAGTGGCAACGGGCGTTGGCGCCGGCCTATTCACGTTCTGTCGTGATGAGTTGGACGTCGAGCTGAAGCTGATGCTGTGGTGTGCCCTGGCCGCCGCTGCCGAGGCCGACCCGGGTTGCCTGGCAGTCATCACGAGCAGGGGCGGCGACACAGACAGCGGCAGCAGTAGCAGCAGTGGCGGCAGGGGCGGCGGCGGCTTCCTGGCCTTGCTGCTGCTGCATGCGGAGCCGGGCCCCACGGCAGCGCCCACTGCCGAGTACACGGCACGCCTGGCGCCCGAGCAGCGTGCCGCGCTGAGGCGCGCTGCGTGGTCGGCGCTGCTGCGTGTCGCGCCGCTAGCCAAGGGCGCCTTCCTGGGTGGCAGCTGTGGCGGTGCGGCGGCGCTGGTCAGGTGCCTTGACGCGTGCGCAGCGGCGGCGGCGGCGCCTGAGCACGTACGGGCAGCGACAGGCCAGGCCTGGGGCTCCATGGCGCGTGGGACCAGCGGCAACAGCAGCGGCAGCGGCGGCGCTGGGCTGTCGGGATTTTGGTGCGAGAGCCGAGAGCTGCCAGCCCGGCTGGTGACCAACGTGTGCCAAGGGGATGGTGCCGGAGAGGCAGCCATTGCGCTTGCAAATCGTGGTGCCCTGGGCGCACTGCTGCGGCTGCTACAGGCGTGCAGCGGCGGCGGCGGCGGCGGCGGCGTGACCGCAGCTGCAGCTCGCGCGCCCGAGGGCGCGCGGCAGGCTACACTGCTGGCGCTTTCTGCGCTCTGCGAGGCGGGTGGTGCGGTCTGCCGGAAGTTGCTTCGTAGCTGCAAGGGAGTGGCTGTCTTGGTCGAGGAGCTGCAGGGGTGAGCAAAGCTGTGTCGCATCTCAGAGAGGAGCAAGAGCAGGCTGGACTCTAAACGTGCACAATCCACAGCCCACCCATTGATATTGCAGTCTCAGCTTGCTCGTGTGAAAAATACTCGCATGTATCAATGTATGATATCTTTTGCTCTCTGCACTGCCCTCTCGTTGCAGCCTCGCCAGCTACGACCCGACGCTGCCGTCCCCTTATGTGCTGGCCGTGCTGGGGGCAATGTGGCGCTGCGTACTGCCAGATGCGCGTGCGAGGGCCGAGTTTTTGGCCCGCGACGGCGTGGATGCGCTGGCGCTGCTGTTGGAGACTGGCAACAAGCATGTCAGGTGTGGCAGGCTGCGTGTGCAACGCGTCATGTGCTGTTTCTTTTGCCGTTCTCGAAACGTGTGTGTTAGTGTGTGTGTGTGTGTGTGTGTGTGTGTGTGTGTGTGTGTGTGTGTGTGTG